ATGTACTCACCAGGTATTTAAGAGAAACAATGTAACAGAGCATGCTTTGGGTTGGAAGTGGGGAGGTAAAGTGTAGGTATAAGGGAGTGTGTGAGCAGAAAGAAGAATTTAACTTAATAGAATTTAATATACTAGAATTTAACTTTTAATTCTTTGCTCTATTAGTGATCCTCAAATGTTAAGCCCCAGGAGCTTTTAAAAATACAGAGCTAAATCCTAGTCCAAACTCCAAAGAATCAGAAACCCTGGGATTAGAATATAGGAAACTGGATTATTGCAGATTTTTGGAGTCTTTTGATATTTGTGCCACAAAAACTGAATTAAAAGGGGAAAACTATTAAACACTGGCTGTTCCCTCTTTAAAGATACTACAATAATAAGGTATACTAAGCAATCTAAACTCAAAATATTTTTTACAATTAGAGCCTGATAAAAATAACTAAGTTAAGACACCATGAATATGTATATTTCATTATTCCCCAATTATACCTCAATAACACTGGAAATTTACAAAGTTCCCTAAAGTGCACCTCCTTCTGCACTTGCTGGGAATAAGGCATTATGACCAAATAAAAATGCATAAAAATAAATCTGTGGCATATTTAAAACATTCCATGTGTATTTCTACATTCTATATGCTGAGTACAAATGTAGAAAAACAATAGGCCTCATAATTATGAGGGACAAAAGACACATAAACATGCATTTTGACACACACTGCCACACCTATACATACTAGTGGTCATACTGATGGTCACTGAGTACTGTCCCTGTGGCCCTTTTCTAATCTTTACATATAGAGTACTGTCCCTGTGGCCCTTTTCTAATCTTTACATATATTAATCAATCAATAACCTATAGGAAGGGTCAATTTTAATTGCCATTTAGAGCTCAGAAAATGGAGACACAGAAAGGTTAAGTAACTAGATCATTACAAAACTTATTAAATGAGAGTCCAGATTTAAATCCAGGCCATATTGCTTGACATATTAGGTTGCTTCAGCTGCCATAACAAAATAGCAGACCTCATAGCCTAAATAGCAATTTATTTTCTTACAGTTCTGGAGGCTGGAAGCTCGAGATTGAGGTGTTGGCAGGTTTATCTCCTGGGTTTTACAGGTGCTATCTCCTGTGTCCACACATACCTGGTATCTGTTTTTCTTATAAGGACAATAGTTATACTGGATTAGGTCTCTAACATTTGAACTTAATCATCTTATTTCCAAATATGGTTCAACTTGCGGTACGAGATTTCAATTTCTGAAGTTCAGAAAACAGAATTTAGCCTATAACACTTGTTGACTGTATAACCTCATCAGTTACTAAGCCTTCCTAGGCCTCCGTTTTTTCAACTGAAAAGTAGTGTTGAGAACTGAATGAGATAATTCATGTACAATGCTTGCAGAATATTTTATTCATAGTATCATTTTGTAGATGAAGAAAACAAAATAAAAGATGGTGACTTGCCCCTTTCTCTTTTCTAAAGCAGACTTCTTATACTATGGCATACAACCTTCCTGTACAACCCTAATGCATAATTTTACATAATTTATATTTTTTCCATCTCTCTCTCTCTCTCTCTCTCTCTCTCTCTCTCTCTCTCTTTCTCTTTGGTGCTTGGGATCAAAGCCAGAAATTCACACATACCAAGTATGTGCCCTATGAGCTACTCTCCCAGCCCCTGTATCCCTTAACTGCTTTCTTATAGCTTAACTCAAATTTTATTACATATAAAAGAACAAAAGAAGGTGTTCTAGTTAGTGATCCTATTAATATAAATTTAGTTAGGAAGATATACTGCTTTCCTGGGACTATACGTGAATTCCATTCATCCTTTCTCCTAACTTGCAAGGACAATTGTCTATAGTCACACAATGATGACACTTGTTTAACTATTAGGAAGGAAAGGCAACCCAATGCTTTTTATTAAAAGGAAAAAAAAAAGAAAATGAGAATTGTACTTTTTATTCACCTAGTGCTAGTGCTCTACACATATTAATACTCCTACTTAATCCTGAATGCAGTCTTGGGATACTGTTTTATTTAGCTCTCATAACAAGCAAGTGAACAAAACATAATTCCTTCAGAGATTATGGGAACAGGAGCACAGCAAGCTTAAAATGTTTTCCTTAAAGGTCACAAGGTTGATCAATAATTTTCAGACAAGAACTCTTACTGATGTCTTCCAGTCTAAAGCCAAGGCTACCAACTGCCCTGCTGGGCTGTAAAACCTGGTTTGTTCATTCTTCATGCCTGTCATGAACAGAGTAGGTGCTCAGCATATATGGCAGTCAGACCTGGAGGCAATCTAGACTAAACTGCAGAATCTTTTTGACATTTACATAATAAAGGGCCAAGATTTTTCTGACAACTTTTGACCACGGCCAACTCCTTGGACTGCCAACTTTGTTAAGGCAGTAACCAGTTTTCTTCTCCCCCAGGGTCTAGCACACTGGGTGCTCATTTGAGAATTAGGAGTTCAAGTAAATGTTGGATAATCAGATTAAAGAACATTCTTCCTTTCGTGATGGCAATGAGTGTTTTTCAGCTACTATGTAAAAATTTTAACAAAAAAAGTCATGTATAGGGCTGGGGATGTGGCTCAAGCGGTAACTCGCTCGCCTGGCATGCGCGGGGCACTGGTTTCGGTCCTCAGCACCACATAAAAATAAAATAAAGATGTTGTGTCCACCGAAAACTAAAAAATAAATATTAAAAAAATTCTCTCGCTCTCTCTCTTTAAAAAAAAAAAAGTCAGGTATAAAAGCCCATCTCATGACCTGTAACAGAAGCCTTCAGGGTTTTTCCAATCCCAAAATTCTGACGTCAGCACAGTCTACACTTGACAGATGATGAAACTGACCACCTCGAGTACGGATTATAGGTACAATGAGATTCATTTGCTGGTCTGGATACACACCACAGCATTCTTAGTCTCTAAAATGTGCTAACAGGAAAGCACTAGATATGTATATGTGACAGGAAAAGTCAGGATTCCCAGAGGGAATGGTAAGGGTGATAAGGTCTATCTGAGTCATAGTGAAGTTGTTGCGTGTCAGGACTCCTCTGTCSTAAGAAGCTATATTAAGAGAAATCATGCTAACTTATTTTCTCAAGAATACACTCGGCTATTTGAAATTTTTTCTTAAACTTCAAGTTTGCTTTGTTATGAGCAGCTGGACAAGTTTTAACCCTGCCATGGAAACTATCTGACCACTTCTGAGCTGTTCCATACAAACGGAAGGGAAGTGAGCAGAGCTAGCTGGAGTAGAGTACTCTACTCTGCTCCCCGCTCTCCTGGAACTTCAAGGGTTGTGAGTGGCCAGTTTGTTTATCTCTATATGTGGTCCCATCCCTTGCTACCTATTTCACAGGGGTGTTGTAAAAGACTGAGAAGAATGTTTGAGGTTCAAAACAACAACAACAACAACAATAAAAACATTCAGCTAAGTACTGAAAGGCCAAAGTTTAACATCACCAACATCATACTTCCTGTCTGAATTAAATCTTTTTAAGTGATACTGAGATGTGAGGAAGACAAATTTCACTAAAACAAAGGCATTTGAAAAATACTATTTTCTGATGACTTAACAAGAGAGAAGAAAGTTCAGACAGAAATAAAGAGGCACACAAATGCCTCTATTAATTCTATGAACAACCAAATAAAAATCTCAGTTTATCCACTCAGTAATAAATATTTATCAAACATATACAATATATAAAGCACTGAGCTAAATGCTTAATATTAACAATTATGTACGGAATGTCCCTTTATCCTCCTGTAATGCAACTGCATTATAAGATGAATGTTTGTTTAGATTTTCTCCTCAAATAAATAAAGGTTTCAACTTTTCCTAGAATATGAAATAATAATTTTTCCTTGGTCATGACTTTCTGGTTATATAGAAAATTTTTAGAACTTATTGGGAGATAAACTATATTGGCCAGCATCAGCTTTTTCAAGGGTAAATGAGCTACAGAATAACTTTCACTTCCACCATGACCAGATTAAATCCCCCACATACACACGACATGGGGTTGGGGGGAGCCAGGAACCCATGTGCCCTTCAGTTTCAATAAGAATAGTTGGAGCATACTGTTAAGGAATGCAGGAAGATGATCATGATCGTGTGATTTGGCAAGAAGATCAAGAACAATRGGACAGAAATATTCCAAATAACTTGGTTAAGTAACTTTGTTTCCACAAATACCCTTCCACATTAAATTACATATGGCTGGAAAACTTGAAAACTGTCTCATGCCTCACTTCTGCCACTTCTGAGCTTGAAAAAGAAAACTAAGACAACCTTTTTAAGGATTTCATTCAAAAGCAGAAATCACAGTCTGGACATTTAAGCTCACCAATGTGGGGTAAAAGACTTCTTTAACAATCAGCCAAAGTCCTTTACCAAATAATTTAAAACAGGAAGTCCCAAATTTCCTTAAAACTTTATTGGTATTAATTTGCAAGAATTGATTGTTCCAATATATGAATTCTTTGTGTATATCTACTATTTCCTCTACAGTTAGGGCTAAACAGTTTTGAAAAACTGGACCACTTACTTCTTAAGTTTTGTTTCTTTCAATTTTAACATCCTATTTTTCCAAAGCCTCAGAACAGATATCCTTCAATAAACAAGAATAAAGTGAATGCTGAGAACCAATTCTTCTGTCCAAGGGTTCAGGGAGAAAGAGTTTATACTCCAAGGCAAATAAGGGCGTGCTCACAATGATCAATATCACATTAAAGGAAATTCATAGCACATCAACAGAAAGAAGTTATGGCTCTGTTCAAGGTAAACCATGTTTTGGAACAGCCCATCACCAACACCAATCACCAGCCAATCACCATCTGTGTTTGGTATTCAGACAGCAAGAACAGGCAATCTCTTCACAGAAATGAAAGATGAGAATCAGCTGGCACTACATTCCATGGTGTAATCTCACATGCAGCACATGAAATAAAAGTTTTTAACAAAATGAAAAATAGATCAACTTACATGGCTCTCTGGCAATGAACTGAGGTACAGTGTTGGGCAGAGGAGTACTGGGGTTTGGAGTCCCTACTAGTTTGTTCTTGGCCATCTTCGTGTTTGCCTTAGCAAACTCTAGTCGTAGTGTTTGCGGAATTTCAGGATCAAAGCGGATGCCCTTTGGAAATAAAGAAAAGTGGAAGATGTTTTCATTTCCTTAGAGTCAAACCAGAATGGTGACAAAATAAACAACACCAGTTAAACCCTAGCCTATCAGGAAAAAAGGTCAGCAAGAGCTTTCTTTCTGTTTACATAGAACATACAAAACCTCACAACACAAATGTGTCCACAAAGGCAGGAGGATTTAGCTTATTCCACTGAAAAAGCTTTTCAACTATTCCTTTTATTCTTGGACAAAAATGTTTTGTACACCAGCAAATCACTAGTACAGTTAAAAACCTGGATAGATGACTACTAATAGGAATGAAAGATGTAATTGCAGTACAATATAATGAAAATGAAACACTGGGCAACACTGGAATCTTGACACCTAGGTCCTAGGAGGCCTGGACTCTGACCATGTTTTTCATTTCATTATCTATATATGGAGAAAAAGAATCCATCTCCTAACTTAGAGCTTTACAAGGTTAATGCAAGTATACTGCATTACTCAGAAGTAGGAATTAAGCAGTTGATATGTGTACATAACAAATCATTAGATTGCAGTTAGCTTATGAATTACACAAAGTCTGAAGGCTTGATGTGGTTGTCTTGATTCTGATAATAGTGAACTTTCTAGCTACAAGGCGGACAAAAAAGACACAATCCTCAGAGATGACAATAATTTCAGTTACTCTTGTCCTTATTATTGCAGTTTGCCTTTTTTTAAAAGGATCATATTCAATAAGACAAATAACAAACACTATCAATAACAAGGGTTAGGGCAAGGCAAGTTCTATTTGGAGCCCTTCCATTAAAGAATGCCTTTGTTACTAAGCATAACCAAGATCCCAAAGAAAACCGTTCAATGTCATGAATTCTAGACATCAGCAATAGTGTCAAGAAGCAGATGGCACTATGTAATAGTGCCTGAATGCACACCCAAAATAGATTCATATCCAATGTTTGTCTGAGTCCTAAAAACGAGTATCCTAAGAACACAGGTTTTCCATTTAGTTTTCTAAATGTACATACATGGGCCCAATGGTCCCCAAACTTCCCTTGCTTTTTTCCCAATTAACTTGAAGAAAAACATGAGAATTTCCATAAGAAATGAGTAAGAATCTTATTCTGTAGACTAGGATGACTCTGAACTTCACAGGCTCAGTTTCAAAGAAGTAAGAAGAGCAAGACAATAACAGCTATAAGAGGAAATGGGGTTGGGGGAAAGAGAGGTCCTCAGGGAGTACAACAAAAGCCACAGATCCTTGACCCAGAGACATCTGGGAGTGGGTGGAATTTCTTCCCAAGTCTGATTTATTCATCCTCTGAGAAGAACCCAACTGAGGGTGGCAAAATGGGGGAGGAAGGTGGAGGATCCACTTGTGTAGACCTAACCACCAAAAGTGAAAGGGGTATCAATTTTGTAAAACATTAAGAAACTCTTTTTTTTTTTTCTTAGTACAGGGGATTGTACCCAAGGGTGCTAAACTACTGAGTCACATCCCCAGCCTTTTTTATATTTTTATTTAAAGATAGGGTCTTGCCAAATTGCTTAGGGTCTTATTAAATTGCTGAGGCTGGCTTTGAACTCAAGATCATCCTGCCTCAGCTTTCCAAACTGCTGGGATTATGAGTGTATCACAAGAAATTTCTTTTAATTTGTCTTGGGTTTTGCTGTCTTAATTTGAGAAATTTCAATACTGTCTTTCCAAAAACATACACAAGGAAAGAAACAAACTGCTGTGCTTCAAGTGGTATTTGATTCTGCCAGCTTACAGCATTTTACCCTATCAAAGCCACTATCACAACAGAATAAATATTTCCTAATATGGAACTGAAGAGTTGTATTCTTTGCTGGGAGACAAGCATAGTCACTGGCTGTCATTTAAAGAGATGTTGTAGAAGGTCTTGCACATTCACATTGCATCCTATCAGACACCTACAGTAGGAACATGATAAGAATTTCAGGCTATTTTCCCTGGCACTGAACTCCACCAATCTTCCTGGGAAGAATCAACTTTCCTGGATCACAGCCCACATCAATGTGAGGGTTTCAGCTAAGACCACTGGGGAATAACATTACAAGAACATCTTGGGACTTGTCTGGGATCCTCTAAGGCTTCTATCCTTAAATAATGATGCAAATTCTATGCCTCAGTTCATTCACTGGTGTTGTAGAATCAAATGAAGCTCCACACAATGTGTTTGTTTCTTATACAACCTGGGTTGGTGGCTCACGTCCTAAAGCATGCTCCACTGAGTCTTCTCACTCCCTGCCCTCTTCTTCATACCCTTCTCTTGTTTGGGTTAAAATAATATCAACATCATGTTCCAAATCGATGTTCCAGCATCTTTATTTAAAAAAAAAAAAGACTCAGAAGTTAAAATGATCTAATTTGCTTGGCAGCTTATTCAGAGGCTGGAGGCTTAGAATACAAGCCACATTCCTCCAACATCTTTAGCAGCAATACCATATTTGGTAATCAATATCCTGCTCAAAGCTAAGTTTCTATCCATAGAGATTAGCCAAGTCCAAAATATTTTAAATGTTAAAGGATAATGAAGAGGAGACAGTGGGGCTGGGGAAGAGAGAATATACAAGTTAAGAGGAAGAAAAAAAAAGGAGAAAAATGGGGGAGAAAAGATAGAAGACAAGGAAAACTAAAAGTCTTGTGCTTTTAATTAAAGCCTAATAAGATACTTCTCTGGCTACAGTGACTTCACATTAAATGCTGTCAGGGTGAGATAACTGCCAAATGAAAGGGGGAATCTGGGCCTTTCAAAATCAACTTTATTCCCTTCTACCTTATAATTTACCCAAACGTCTCATATGAAACAGAGAAACCTTCTCTTCCAAATGTAAATGGTGTTCTATTTACAAGAACCAGAAAGGACAGTTTTTAGATATAAATTATGATATTGAAGATTAACTGTTATTTAGAAGCAACCCATTCTGACTGGTTATAGGGACAGCCAAATGTCTTTTCCAACCCAGGTTCACTATTATCTATAGAGGCTGCACTCCTTATACTTCGGCATGGTGGAGGAAGTAAGGGAAGAGAGAAAGTTCACCAGGTACTGTCGGTCCAGGAAAGCACTCAGCACATTTTTATGTAACAGGATGCAGGGAGGAGGCCTGCATAAGCAGGGTCGGGTGAGATCACAAAGGACCTTTTATGCCAAGAGGGAGGACTTTTCGTTGCATGCAGATCTAGATCCTTAAATGTTAGTGTATATGAGATTCAACTTGCTAAATAGAGTGCTGGGCCCTAGGCCTAAGTTTGATTTAGCAAATTTGGGATGGAACCCAGGAATCTGCATTTCTAAGAAATAGTACTACTGAGGCTGTCTGTGTAGGAAACACAATTAAGAGTCATGGTAGTCAAAGGGTAATACTAGCAGTGGTAGGAAAGATGGACACAATGGAGAGCTTGGAAGCAATAAGAGCCCTGGGAAGGGAAGCTAGGTGGATGGCTGCACCTGTTGGTCCTTCTTTTTTGGGAAGGGCACCTAGCGCAAGGTCTGTGTACTATGCCCTTACTTCTCTGATCATTTAAGGGACAGATGCTACCAAAAGTGATAAAACACATATTCTCTTTTGGGAATTTCAACTTTGAGTAGCCATATAGAAAGTGAAGGTCACCTCACCTCCTACTAGAGAAAATTGAGATCCTCACAGTACCTTGATGCTTGATGACAGTTTTGTTTGGCACAATAAACAGCGCTTCAATTCTGTGAGCTATCAGCTATCCCAGGTGTTTACAAATGGTTCCACCATTAAAGTGAGTTAATGGTCCTTGAGTTTCAGGGACAAATGAATCATTCATTTAGAAGGGAAAACATGATAAAGAATGAGACAGACTGACATGTACTTATTGGATGTCCATGGCTACATTAGATTTTTTTTAAAAAATGATACTCAATAATGTTTTATAGTATGGACATAAAGGGTAGAAAGGGACCAGGTATGTGTGTGTTACATGCTTGYCCATGTATGCGAGAACGTGCGCGCATGCACACACATACACACACATACACACACACACACACTCTGATGTCTAAGTCCAGAAATGTTTATAATGAGACAACCAATCTGTTAATAGTGGTGACCTTAGAAGAAGGGGGTGCAGGAACATACTTTCGTACAATTTCTCACTATTTGAAATTTTTACAAATATGTTTAATTTGTAAAATTTTAATTTATAAAATGCAATGCAGATTATTTATTTCTTTTTTAAGAGGCAGAGAGCTGGAATTAGTAGTAGTTTATTAACGAGAGTTCAAGTGTCAGTATAGAGCCAATAATAGGCATACTGGCACAGCACAAGCAATTGTTGGTATTTTCTGTTTACATAAAAAAAAGACAACAAAAACATTATTCTGAAATAACTTTAGACTTACAGAGAAGCTACAGACATTGTATAAAGAATTTCTGTACAACATTTGCTCAGATTTCTCAAATGTTAGCATATTACCACATTTACTTTATCATTCTTCTCCACTGTGTTTTCTTCTTACACACAAACACATACCAAGAGGTTTTTTTTTTCTCCGAACTGTTTAGGTTGCAAGCATAAGTCCTTTTACTCTACTTCAGTTTGAATTCCTAAAGAATAAGTACATTTCTGTTTTCCTGATTCAGGACCTAATCCAGAATCATGCACAGCATTAATTCGTCATATCTCTTTATTTAATCTGGAAGGTTTCTTCAGTCCTTGTTTTCCATGACCTTGATATTTTTTAAGAGTACAAGCTATTTATTTTGTAGAATGTCCCTCAATTTGGTTCTAATTTTTCTTTTTAGATTCTGGTTATGTATTTGTGGCAAGATTATCAGAGAAGCAAGCGCTTTGTGTCCTGCTCAGTGCACCATAAGAGGCACATAATGCCATTTTTGTCCCAACAATAGTGATATGAACTTTGATCACTTGCCAAGTTTCTCTACTGTAAAGTTTCTAATGTTTTTCCCTTTTTAACTAATAAGTATCTTATAGAATAATATCTTCAAGTTATAAA